GTCTCAAAAAAAAAAAAAAAAAGAAAAAAAGAAAAAAAGAAAGATGCTCAAATCATTAGTCATTAGGGAAATGCAAATCAAAGCCATGAGACACTACTTCATACCCACTAGGATGGTTGTGAAAAAAATACAAAACCAAAAAACTCAGAAAATACCATGTGTTGGTGAGGATGTGGAGAACTCAGAACCAATAATTTGGCAGTTCCTCAAGAAGTTAAACACAGGGCCTGGTGCAGTGGCTCACACTGTGTTCCCAATGGTTGGAAGGGCAAGGAGGGAGAATTGCTTGAGACCAGAATTTCAAGATCATCCTAGGCAACAAAACAAGAGGCCATCTCTACAAATTTTTTTTTTTTTTTTTTTTTTTTTTTTGAGATGGAGTTTCGCTCTTGTTACCCAGGCTGGAGTGCAATGGCGCGATCTCGGCTCACCGCAACCTCCGCCTCCCGGGTTCAGGCAATTCTCCTGCCCCAGCCTCCTGAGTCGCTGGGATTACAGGCACACACCACCATGCCCAGCTAATTTTTTGTATTTTTAGTAGAGACGGGGTTTCACCATGTTGACCAGGATGGTCTCGATCTCTTGACCTCGTGATCCACCCGCCTCGGCCTCCCAAAGTGCTGGGATTACAGGCTTGAGCCACCGCGCCCGGCCAAATTTTTTTTTTTTTGAGATGGAGTTTTGCTCTGTTCCCCAGGCTAGAGTGCAATGGCTCAATCTTGGCTCACTGCAACCTCTGCCTCCCGGGTTCAGGAGGTTTTCCTACCTCAGCCTCCCAAGTAGCTGGAATTACAGTCACTTGACATCATGTCCAGCTAATTTTTGTATTTTTGTAGATACGGGATTTCACCTTGTTGGCCAGGCTGGTCCTGAACTCCTGACCTCAGGTGATCCACCTGCCTCGGCCTCCCAAAGTGGGGGGATTACAGGCGTGAGCCATTGTGCCCTGACTACAAAAAAGAAATTGAAAAAAAAAATCAGCCAAGTGTGCTAGCTACATGGGAGGCTGAGGTTGAGGCTGCAGTGAGCCGTGTCCTTGCTACTGCACTCCAGCCTGGAAAATAAAAACCAAAAAAGCAAAAACAAAACAAAACAAAAACAAAAATCCAAAACCCCAAAAAAGAAGTAAAACAGGCCAGGTGTGGTGGTTCACACCTGTAATCCCAGAATTTTGGGAGGCCAAGGTGGGTGGATCACCTGAGGTCAGGAGTTCCAGACCAGCCTGGCCAACATGGTAAAACCCTGTCTCTGCTAAAAATACAAAAATTAGCCAGGAATGGTGACGTGCGCCTATAATCCCAGTTCTCAGGAGGCTGAGGCAGGAAAATCACTGGAACCCTGGAGGCAGAAGTTGCAGTGAGCCAAGATCCCACCACTGCCCTCTAACCTGAGTAACAGAGTGAGACTCTATCTCAAAAAAAAAAAAAAAAAAAAGTAAAACATAGCTACCATATAACCCGCAATTCCACTCGTACATATATACCCATAATACTTGAAAATATTTGTGGCCAGGAGTGGTGGCTCACTCCTGTAATCCCAGAACTTTGGAAAGTTGAGGTGGGTGGATCACGTGAGGTTAGAAGTTCCAGACCAGCCTGGTCAAAGAAAGAAATAAAGAAAATATTTGTTGGCCAGGCACAGTGGCTCATACCTATAATCCTAGCACTTTGGGAGGCCAAGGTGGGTGGATCATGAGTTCAGGAGATCAAGACCATCCTGGCTAACACGGTGAAAACCCATCTCTACTAAAAATACAAAAAATTAGCTGGGCATGGTGGCACACGCCTGTAGTCTCAGCTACTCAGGAGGCTGAGGCAGGAGAATTGCTTGAACCTGGGAGGCAGAGGTTGCAGTGAGCCAAGGTTGCACCAGTGCACTCCAGTCTGGGTGAGAGAATTATACTCCATCTCAAAAAAAAAAAAAAAGAAATAAAAGAAAAAGAAAAATATTTGTTACAAATACATGCTAAAAAATAGATGAACCTTGAAAACATTATGCTAAGTGAAATAAGCCAAACACAAAAGGCCACATATTGTGATTCCATTTATTTGAAATATCCATAGGGACAAAAGTAGATTGGTGGTTGCCAGAGCTGGGGGATGAGGAGATAGGAGGTAAGTGACTGCTTTATGGGTACCAGGTTTTATTTGGAAATGATAAAAATGTTTTGGAACTAGATAAAGGTGGCAATTGCACAGCACTGTCAATGGCCAGGCATGGTAGCTCACGCCCGTAATCCCAGCTTTTGGGAGGCTGAGGCAGGAGGACGACTTGAAGCTAGGAATTTAAGACCAGCCTGAGGAACATAGTGAGACCCTATCTCTACACAAAATAAAAAGTAAAAAATTAGCTTGATGTTCTAGCAAGTGCCTGCAGTCAGTGTTCAGTGATGTTCAATTATTTATGACAAATAACAATAGTAGAGGATTTAACCGTTTACATATATTTTCATACATATTATTTCATTTATTTATTTATTTATTTATTTTTTTTGAGACGGAGTTTCACTCATGTTACCCAGGCTGGAGTGCAATGGCGCGATCTCGGCTCACCGCAACCTCTGCCTCCTGGGTTCAGGCAATTCTCCTGCCTCAGCCTCCTGAGTAGCTGGGATTACAGGCACACACCACCATGCCCAGCTAATGTTTTGTATTTTTAGTAGAGACAGGGTTTCACCATGTTGACCAGGATGGTCTCGATCTCTTGACCTCGTGATCCACCCGCCTCGGCTTCCCAAAGTGCTGGGATTACAGGCTTGAGCCACCGCGCCCGGTCATATTATTTCATTTAATCCTCACATAACCCCATTTTGATATTCACTTTTTTCTTTTGTTTTCTTTTTTTTGGAGATGGAATCTCACTGTGTCACCCAGGGTGGAGTGCAGTGGCTCGATCTTGGCTCACTGCAACCTCTGTCTTCCTGGTTCAAGTGATTCTACTGCCTCAGCCTCCCGAGTAGATGAGATTACGGGCATGCTTCACCATACTTAGCTAATTAGCTTTTTTTTTTTTTTAACATAAATTAACCCATTTATTTATTTATTTATTTTTTGAGACGGAGTTTCGCTCTTGTTACCCAGGCTGGAGTGCAATGGCGCGATCTCGGCTCACTGCAACCTCCGCCTCCTGGTTCAGGCAATTCTCCTGCCTCAGCCTCCTGAGTAGCTTGGATTACAGGCACACGCCACCATGCCCAGCTGAATTTTTGTATTTGTAGTAGAGACGGGGTTTCACCATGTTGACCAGGATGGTCTTGATCTCTTGACCTCGTGATCCACCCGCCTCGGCCTCCCAAAGTGCTGGGATTACAGGCTTGAGCCACCGCGCCCGGCAATTAACCCATTTATTATAGGCCAGTGATGTCTCAAAGAGTAGAGGAGCGTCTACTGGTCTTTCAATTCCTTCAGTCTTCTGATGGCGGACTTTACTGTGACAGTGGAAGTGGTATTGTACGTCCAGGCACCGCCAGCCACTGTCTTCATGCAGGAACCACAGTGCCAGATGCCCACAGCTCGTCTCTTCATCTTGGTTTTGCCACAGAAAGAGCAAGTGTACTTGGCATGCTGGCTGATTTCAGTTTTCTTCACCATTTTCCGGAGGGAGGCCCCATAGCGGGTCCCATATTTACCGACGATCCCAACCTTCTTGGTACGTTTGGCCATTTCAACTTCCAGCTTTCTGTGTAATGCCTGTGTGCCAATAGCTTGAGTTAGGCTTGCTCTTTAGGACTTCAGCAGCTATTCTCATCCTTTGGGACGCAACTATCCATAAGGTGCTATCGAGAGCCACATTGCATCTGCACCTAGCTCCATACCAAACCAAAGCGGCCTCCTACCTCGAAAGGACCTTTTTTTTTTTTTTTAAACTTTTAACCTAGCTAACATTTGTATTTTTAGTAGACATGGAGTTTCACAATCTTGGCCAGGCTGGTCTTGAACTCCTGATCTCAAGTGATCTGCCCACCTCAGCCTCCCAAAGTGCTGGGATTACAAGTGTGAGCCACCATGACTGATTTTTTTTTTTTTTTTGAGACGGGGTCTCACTCTGTTGCCCAGGTTGGAGGGCAGTGGTGTGATCTTGGCTCACTGCAACCTCCGCCTCCCAGGTTCAAGTGATTCACCTGCCTCAGCCTCTTGAGTAGCTGGAACTACAGGCACCCACCACCACACCTGGCTAATTTTTTTTTTTTGAGGCGGAGTTTTGCTCTTGACCTCAGGTGATCCTCCTGGGTTGGCCTCCCAAAGTGCTGGGATTATAAGTGTGAGCCTGAAAATAATGTATTTAGAGATTTAGCACCATGCCTGGCACATAATAGGTGGTGAGTAAATGTTAGTATTGTCATTAAGCTGCCAAGCCAAGGACAACCCACTGACTGTGATGCCAGGCATAGTAAATGTTTGAACAACTCTCCTTGAGGAATAAAGGGACAAGCCTTCACTTCTTCCAGATATAAGGCTTAACATCTGGGATTCCACCAGAAAGTCACCTTCCTTCATAGTACACAGTAGCTCTATAATTCATATTGTATTGTTTTTTATTTTATTTTTATATATGGACTGGGTCTCGCTGTGTCATCCAGGTTAGAATGCAGTGGCTATTCACAGGCACCATCGCTGCTCACTACAGCCTTGAACTCCAGGGCTCAAGCATCCTCCTGCCTCAGCCCCTGTTGTAACTGGTACTACAGGCACATGCCACAGTGCCCTTGTATTGTTTTACATGTTTCTCTGATTCTACTCTATTAGAAAAATTCCTGAGTGGCCGGGTGCAGTGGCTCACACCTGTAATCCCAACGCTTCTGAAGGCCGAGGCGGGTGAATCACCTGATGTCAGGAGTTTGAGACCAGCCTTGCCAACATGGCAAAACCTCGTCTCTACTAAAAGTACAAAAATTAGCTGGGCGTGGTGGTGGGTGCCTGTAATCCCGGCTATTCGGGAGGCTGAGGCAGGAGAGTCGCTTGAAACCCGGAGGCTGAGGTTGTTGCATTGAGCTGAGATCGTGCCATTGCACTCCAGCCTGCGTAACAGGGCAAGACTCCATCTCAAAATAAATAAATAAATAAATAAATAAGAAACAAAGAAAAATTCCTGGGTAAGTTTGGAATCTCTTCTTGGAGAGCTCCTAAGGACATAATTTTCAGAGATGGTGGCGGGGCTGGGTGGGGTGCGGAATCCTTTTAGGATAATTAAGGCAATAGGGGTCCCCTTGCCCTAAGAGGAGTCAGGGACCAGAGAATCGAGGAATAGGAGAAAGTCAAGCTTCATCAAAACCATTCCCTATTGTGACATCCTTGCATTCAGTAAACTTCTCTTTTCTTGTTTTGCAACGGCTTTTTTCTTTTCTTTTCTTTTTTCGAGAAGGAGTTTCCCTCTTGACTGGAGTGCAATGGCACTATCTTGGCTCACTGCAACCTCTGCCTCCTGGGTTCAAGCGATTCTCCTGCCTCAGCCTCCTAAGTAGCTGGGATTACAAACGGTTATGCCATCACAAACGGTTAATTTTTTTTTTCTTTTTTCTTTAATTTTGTATTTTTGTTTTTAGTAGAGATGGGGTTTCTCCATGTTGGTCAGGCTGGTCTTCAACTCCCGACCTCAGGTGATGTGCCTGCCCCCGCCTCCCAAAGTGCTGAGATTACAGGCATGAACCACCGCACCTGGCCACAAGTGCTTGTTTCTACTTGAAAATCGCAGACCCGGTCGGGCGTGGTGTGGCTCACGCCTGTAATTCAAGCACTTTGGAGACCAAGGTGGGCGGATCACCTGAGGTGGGGAGTTCAAGACCAGCCTGACCAAGGTGGTGAAACCCCATCTTTATTTAAAAAAAAAGAAAGAAAGAAAGAAAGAAAGAAAATTGCAGACCCTACTCCTATACTCTCCCTTATTCTTTTTTTTTTTTTTTTTTT